TTACTCCACGGATACCAAAGAATTAAAAGTTCAACCGTAACACCCATTTCACCAATTGGATCCATTTTCTTCTTTACACAATCAGATACCCGAGAATTAATTCCCAACCCGTGCCCAATAACTTTAGGCGAGAATATGCAGTATTCAACTTTCCCCTTCACCTTTTTATATTATAAGATTGTGTACTACTTATTTGCATAGTATTTGCAAAATAGTTATTATTAAGAATTTAAGTTATTAATTAGGAATTTAATTAAAAACTCTCCCACTATTTTAAATAAATTAACTACCCTCTGATCTGTAACTTGTTGATTCGAGGTTTCTTCATAAAAAATGACTTAGCGGGAAAAGGTACGCATTACATTTAATTGTAGTTGTGCTTTACATCTTTCCCTATAGTTAAACTAGTTAGGTAGGAATTATTTCCAATTGTAATCACTTTCATAACCCTTGGTTTGCTAGGTTATTTTAAATACAAGTATATAATGGTCCTAGATCCTTATTCCATCTAACTATAGTTGTACTTTGCATCTTGCCTTATAATTAAACTTTTTCAGGTAGGAACTAATTTCAATTGAAACACGTTACAACTCTGGTTGGATGAACTAATTTTATTGATTAACCTAACAACGTCCCAGTTTGGTGTGTTCGCTAATTAGCCTTGACGAGTGACGAGGCGTAGGAAGACACAAACTTAATTTAATGAGGGATTTAAACATGATATTAGCTATGGAAGTTACGTGCCCATGCACTAGCAAAACAATCATTCCTACACCAACATGCATAAATAAATAAATGTTACTCCCTCCGTCCACCTAAGATCTTCCCATTGCGCGTTACGAGGCTTGACTGACTTTATTTTCAAATAAATTAATTTGAATATAGGGGTAAATTTTTAATATAAAATTTATGTAGTAATAAACTACATGAAAAGTTCTACAAAATTAGAGGTGACAGCACTATATTATTTTGTGAAATGAGTAGCAAAAATAAACAAACGAAGTGAATTAAGTTTGACCCCGTGAATAGTGTCTGAGAAGATCTATAGTGAACAGAGGGAGTATATGGTTGCGGCTTCTAAAGAAAAACTAGTGTTAGTGCCTTTTTATAGATTTCTATCTTCAGCACATTATTAACTACCTTCAGTGATTATCTCTTCATCAAAGATGTCCATGGACTTTTGGTCTTTTCTTGAAAATGATAATCACATAATTTTGAGAGAAATGAATCCTTGTGTTACATGCAAGGGGTATAAGGTTCAAGATATAGATTGACATTAAAAAATTTAGAGATATGGTACGATACACAAGCCGTATTTAAAATCACTAATACTAAGCCATTACCATACAACATGAATAACATACTGTAATGCCCCAAAACATACCCTAGAATTAATAATGGAGAATTATTCAAATTAATCAAATTTGTTTTGATTAAAGTAAATTGTTATTGGGCTTTGGGCCGAAATAAAATATATATATTGATATCTAATAAACATAATTGGGATAAATCTCAACGAGATAAATCCAAAATGATTGACTTATTGTGTGATCTTGATTGGGGACCTGAGTACAGATCCAAATCAAGAATAAATGAAGATTTTATTTTGTGGTGTAAACTTTGAAAAGATTTATTGAGATAAATCATGACAATAAATAAAATGAATTGAATGAAAGAATCCTTTTAAAAGTCAATAAAACCAATTTTGACTCTATCACAGTCAAACACCCAAAAATATGATGACAGAAAAAGTATTGCAAATAAATATAAAAAATATATATCATCGGATAGAGTTTAACTGTCTGATCGCAACGGTGCAAATTGATTTCAATTTGGAGAAAGTTGGACCAAAAGGTGTACCCCGGCTGGGACCAAAACTAGTCCCAATCAGGGACATGGCGTTTGAAATCAGAAGAGATCGCAGCCGAGCGCATTAAGAAATTCATCGATCATCACCTACGTAATTCGCTGGGAAGTTTCTCCCTTCTTCTCCTATATAATGGAACCCAACCATTCTCATTTCTCCACCAAATTTAATAAGTTAGTGCTATAATATTCCTGAGATTAAGGAGAGCATTCTACAAGTGTTAGTTGCCGTCAAGGTCACCGGAGTTGGGAGTTATCATTGCCGGAAGTTTCGCCGTCCAATCGTCAGAATCATCGTTTAGCTTCGAGGAAAGCCCGTAGATATATCTAGTGACTAGAATGTTCGTATAGATCGCTTCTACGTCCATAAACGGTCGTTTGGTTGAGTTTTTTTCATGTTTATATTAATATCCCTTATGAATGAGAATTGATTCAAACTAGTTTTTCTTCAATTATTGAGCAAGTTGTTGTTGAATTGGTTGAATTGCATAATTTGATTTCATAAGTAGGTTGGTATGTGGAATTTGGTTTTTGTTGAACCTATTTTGGCTCCATAAGGTAGTTAAATGAACTCCGAATTCATACGTGAATCTCTTTTGTGCTTTTGTGTTCGTTGATTTTAAGGAATTTGGACTTCTTAGCTCCATAAGATGATTCATTTTTCTTAGAATTCGTTATTGAGTGATTGTTATGTTTTCGTGTGTTCGTTTGTTATTTTGATTAATTGAGGTTGTTTAAACTCAAAAACGATCTCAATTTATTGAAAATATGTTGTGTTCATTTATGTGAATAGAAAAAACGTCATTGGTTTGAGAAGTTCATGGAAATCTGTGAAATGTGCTCATCATTAGGAGAAAAAGTTTGTTAAAATGCATAAGGTATTGGCAGTTTGTGAATAGATTATGTATGAGAGTTGAATGCATAATAGATTCTCTCTTTTATAAACTTTTTCTATAGTGGAAGTATGTTCTCATGCGTGAATAGAGAGTTGGGGTTCTAAGGTATATTTCAAAACGGGCCTTTGAATTGCATGACTCCGGGCCGTGTGGAGAGTTGACAATCCTCCATATCACGGTTAAGGAAATGAATCGACTCGGCCTTTGATTGATTTTTTTTATTCTTATGTGCGTAAGTTACGTAATATATTGTCTACGTGTCTATTATACGTGTAATGTTCAACTCGTGTTTGTTCTCTTTTTTCATTTTGTCTCATGTTCTTGGCGGTATTTCTTGGGTTACCTTTATTGGAGAAGTAATATTTTTGAGCTTATTTCCCCCATTTTATCAAAAAAATAAAAAAAAAGAAGAAAAATATAAAAAACCAAAAAATACTTACTTTTCATCCAACCCCCCCCCCCCCCTTTGTGTTTTAAGTTATAAATATACATTTTTATACTTTATTTACTTTTATATACTTAGGTATTTGTTTTGTTTTTATAAGTTATATTATAATTTCTTTGTTTATTTAAGTTAAATTTATAAGTTTTTATATTTATATAGTTATAGGTTTTATTATAAGTTTTATCATATGTGTAGTAGTTAATTTTTTTTAGTGACAACGTGTTTGCATGCTATTTTGATTTCAAAAGTACAAACTTACTCCGTGGGAACGACCCTTACTTGCCCTAGCTATAGTTTTTATTTGATTATATATTGGGGGTTAGTTAAGGATATTTTATAAATTTTTAATTTGTTTTGGACCTTACGACAAGTCTCCAACACCCATCCCTACTCAATCTGAAAAGAAAATTTTCAAATTGTATAAATTTTATATAAATATATCAATTATTAAATAAGGAAATCAAAAATATTTTCAATAAACTATTTTCATAAATATTAACTTTCCAAAAGTTGTTTTTTCAAAATATTCTAATACACATTACAAAATAATAATTTTATGGACAACAAATTACTAATGCCATATTTAATTAATGTTTAGAACAGTAATATTGAAATTATTGAAAATACATAATAAATAAAATAATTATTCTAATTTCAAGATATATTTCCAAATAATTTTATATGATCTGAAAATAATATTTCCAAATATATAAAATTATAAATTTGAATTATAAACTTTTTTATAATTAATCACTATTAATTACATATTAGATCTAATTAAATTCGAAAAGAAAAAAATAAAAATATTTTTAATTTATTTGGGGTTGTCCTGGACATATTAATAATGATTGACCCCCAACCCAGCAGTCCATTTACTCAAGCCGATCTTATATTTCTTAACCTAATTAAGCTTGCCTTAATTACCACACTAATCTCTAGTATATATGGGGATGGGTTATGCTTGTGTTCAACCATTCAAAAAACTCCTCCTCTTCTGTTCTTCTTCGTTTCTTTGTGAGTGGAGTGTGGCGTGGTTGGGTTGGGGTATTGCTCCTTTTGGTTCTATAGTAGTGCACAATTATGGACCGATTTTACGGGTGACCCGAGCCTATTTCGAAATAAATAACTACACATAACAGTGGTATCGGAGCCTGGTTTTTGCTGAGTATTTATTTATTTTTCTGTAGGGTGTCTTTTCTCCTTTTTCAGATATGTCGTCCCTAACCAACTTTTCATGTATGCTTTTTAAAACTCATCTCCTTTTTTGTCAAACTTTGTACATGACCTTTTCTTTTTATCTCTTTAATTAAAAAAGGGAGTGTCTAGTGGGTTTGTTTTTCCAAAGAACAAAAGAGAGAGGGACGGTGTGACATCTTGGTCGCCATCTTTCTTTGTTTTTCATCAATTCCGTGTGGGTCAGGATCGGAAGACTAAGATTTCAGACCTGGGCTACTTGCGATCATCGATAACGCACGACTCTCGGGAATAGACACCAGCGAGAACGTCTCTCGTGCGACATAAGACCACAGGCGACTAGCGAGAGAGCTCCACAAAGTAGATCCCTGGTGAACTGATACGAAAGTATCGGGGTAGAGAAGGCTTCGAGTGCCTTCGAACTCTAGAAAGTAAGGCGAAGGAAGAGAAGAAAGATGCCGGCAGGGAGGGCCGCCGGAACCTACGGGCAGAGAAGAGAGAATTTTAGGGTTTTAATATTCTTACTCATATGATGGCCAAGTGACATACAACTCCTTTTATAATGAGGAGAAGCCAAAAACCCTTTAACCCTAATTACTACGTTATCTATCCTGGCGGTTCAAAGAAAAGCGACGAGGTAAAGAACCGTAAAGAAACCCTCGAAGGAGCTTATAATTACGCTCACCTAACAAAATCTAAAGCACAATAATAATTATTAAAATGTCTAAAATACTAAATTAAATAATCCTTTTGCCATGCGGGAAGACGCCTAACCCTCGAGCTCTTGCGCACGTCTGGTACTACATCCGTTTCTTCATGCTCTACATCTTGACCCATATCAGACTCTAGGTTAGACCCCAAATCCTCATGGCCGAGCTCCTCTTCCGTTTCCCCGAGCTCCTCATTCTCCGTATGCTCGTGACCCACGTCATTCATAACATTCCCCACCGGATCAACTAGCACCTTGTCCTCAAGGTGCAAATCTAGAAAGTGGCGGTGTAGATTCTCGATGGGCTCCCAGGTGGCTTCTGCCATTCCACCGTCGGACCATTCCACTAGCGCCTGGCGTACGGCCTGACCCGCGACTAAGGTGGTACGTTGCCCATGCACCCGCACGGGACGGGCTGGTGGCCGCCCGTCGACAAAGTCCCTAGGCAATGGCAGTGGCTGGACATTTGTGGAATCCCCCCGGAATGGTCGGAGCAAAGAAACGTGAAAAACCGGGTGAACCCTCGAGTCTGCCGGAAGCTGCAAACGATAGGCCACTGCCCCGATTCGCTCAATAACCTGAAACGGCCCATAAAATCGTCGTGACAACTTCTGGTTTCCCCGCCGCGCCACCGAATGTTGCCGGTACGGTTGGAGTTTCAACAGGACCCAATCACCCACCCGAAACTCGACATCCCGTCGATGAGAGTTAGCCGCTGTTTGCATACGTTGTTGGGCCTCTTCTAAATGCTCCCGTAAACGCGTCAATAGAGCCGTGCGTTCGGAGAGAAGAGCGTCCACTGCCGGGACCTCACATGTGCCGGCCGTGTAGGGAAGTATCGACGGTGGCTCTCTCCCGTATAGTGCCTGAAACGGTGTCATTTTCAGTCCGGAATGGTAACTCGTATTCAATGCAAACTCCGCCCATGGAAGTAAGATGGTCCATCGCTTTGGTTTGTCACTGGCATACGCACGAAGGTATTGTTCCACACCCTGATTCATGACCTCCGTTTGTCCATCCGATTGGGGGTGGAACGCCGTGCTGATTTGTAGGGTGGTGCCGCTTAAGCGAAGAGTGTGCTGCCAGAATCGGCTCAAAAAAATTTTGTCCCTGTCTGATACAATGCTCTTGGGAAACCCATGAAGTTTGACAACGTTGTCAATGAACAATTGTGCCACCCGCAGAGCATCAAAGTCCGCCGGCAACGCACCCAAATGTAGATACTTGGACAAGCGATCAACCACGACGAAGATGACCGAATAGCCGCGCACAACTGGAAGACCGGTGATGAAATCCATAGAAATATCATCCCATACCTGGAGCGGAATAGGGAGGGGCTGTAGAAGCCCAGCCGGCGGTTGGGTCGAGTACTTCGTAACTTGGCAGATAGTGCATGCCTCGATATGTCGTTGGATGTCCCGCCGCATGCCGGGCCAATGGAAATGCATGGCTAAACGGTAAAATGTGCGTTGTATGCCCGGATGTCCTGCCAATGGAGAGTCATGGTATTCCCTAAGTAGCTGTGCCCAAAGTGGTGAGTCTCTGCCTATACAGAGACGGCGGCGATAGAAAAGCATACCATCTGCAATTGAAAAATCTAATGGCAACTTACCCTCACTGGCCGCCGCATGCAGCCCCATGAGGTCTGGTTGGGACTGATTTTCTGTGCGAATGGCCTCCATAAGGGCAGGGACTGGCCGAGACAGGTGCATAAAGGTGGCGATCAACCCCTCGCCGTCCTCCCGGCGCGAGAGTGCGTCGGCGACACGATTGGAGGCACCGGGTTTATATTCGATTCGAAATTGAAACCCCATGAGTTTGCGTACATAATACTGTTGATCCGGAGTTTGGACCACTTGGTGAAGTAATTCACGGAGACTGCGTTGATCTGTGCGAATAAGGAATTCACGACCCAACAAGTACTGCCTCCATTTCTGAACCGCTTCGACAATAGCCAATAGTTTTTTGTGATATGTGGACGCCGACAGGCGCCTTGGTCCGAGCTTGCGACTGAAATAAGCAATCGGCTGATGGCGTTGCAATAGGACCGCCCCGATGCCGGTTGCACAAGCATCCGTCTCTATGACAAACGGAATGCCAAAATCTGGGAGCCGGAGTACGGGTGCTGTAGACATCGCCTCTTTCAATTTGGTAAACGCGGCAGTGGCCTCTGTCGTCCATGCAAAGGCGTCTTTCTTGAGGAGATCCGTTAGTGGCGCGGCAATGGTGGAGTAGTGCCTCACAAACCGTCGATAATACCCGGTTAACCCCAAGAAGCCACGGAGCTGCCGTTGTGTAGTTGGCACAGGCCAATCCAACATGACTTGGATTTTACCTTTATCGGCATGAAGTTCCCCAGCGGTAATGATGTGTCCGAGGTAGTCGATGGATTGTTGGCCGAAGGAACACTTAGACCGCTTGATGTAAAATACATGCGACTGTAATGTAGTGAAAACCATCTGCAAGTGATCATGATGCAATGCCAGAGATGGACTGTAGATTAAGATGTCGTCGAAGAAGACCAGGACAAACCGGCGCAAAAATGGGGCGAGAAGGTGGTTCATGCAAGCCTGAAAAGTGGAGGGGGCATTCGTAAGGCCGAATGGCATCACCAAAAACTCATAGTGCCCGTCGTGTGTCCGAAATGCCGTCTTGTACACGTCTTTTTCAGCCATACGGATCTGGTGGTAACCCGAACGCAAGTCCAATTTAGAAAAATAAGAGGCATGACCCAACTCATCAAATAATTCGTCCACCGTAGGAATGGGGAAGTGATCGGGGACTGTAATCGCGTTCAAGGCGCGGTAGTCAACACAAAAGCGGAACGAGCCGTCCTTCTTTTTCACCAAAAGAACCGGGGATGAGAATGGGCTTCGACTCGGGCGTATTAGCCCTTGATCTAACATCTCTCGAACCATACGTTCGATCTCCACTTTTTGAAAATGAGGGTACCTGTATGGCCGCACATTCACTGGTCGGCTCCCTGGTTGTAAAAAAATCCTGTGGTCAGCAAGGCGGTGCGGTGGCAGTCCCGTCGGCAATTCAAACAACCCTGCAAAAGTGCTGAGTAGTTCGGTAATAGCGGCAGGGATAATCTGGGCCTCCTGGTCAGTGGCTGGCGAGGTGGGAGGATCATCCTTCGGCAGTGCCAAGAGCTCATAGTAGGCGACCAATGAGTTGAAGGATTGGAGAGCTTTAAACATAGCAAACGAGACTGGTTTGGGAGTAGAATCGCCCCGTAGTTGGATCGGCTGGCCTTCCCAAATGAAATCCAGCGTTAACTGGGCGTAATCTTGTGTAATTTTACCAAGCTGTTGCAACCATTGAACTCCCAACACAATGTCTTGCCCATGAATCTGCAAAACAAAAAGATCAATAGAAAAAATGTGATTTTGCATGAGAAGAGGCACTCCTGTACACTGGGATGCACACGGCATCGCATCACCGTTACCAACATACACCCGAAACGGTGCAACCGCCGTCAAGGGAAGCTGTAGACGGCCCACGATCTCCGGATGAATAAAGTTGTGGGTGCTCCCACCATCAATGAGGACGCGGACATCTTGGCACCCAACCCGCCCTACCAAGCGCAAGGACCTCGGTGGTTGGATGCTAGAGAAATTGTTTAGGCTAGAGATGTCGGCCGCGACCAATAAGTCCTCCTCGGTGTCTGGTGGAAAGGCTTCGTCATCGTCATCGTCGCCACAAAGGATCAAAAAACGTCCGCACTTATGATTGCGGGACCATTTTTGATCACAATTGTAACAAAGGCCTTTGGCATCCTTAGCTTCCTTTTCTGCCGGTGTTAAGCGTTTGATAGGCCCGGGATTATGAGGGAGTGGCTTTGGTGGGGTGGGCAGTAATGGGGCTGTAGTCGCCGGCTTTAACCCCTGTGGTGCACCACGCGGTGAAGGGGAGAAGGGACTGGCAGAACGTTGCTGGATAGAGTGAACCAAGGCCGAGTGTTTGGCTTCTAATTCCCTGGCCATAGAAAAAGACTCCGAAAGAGTGGCAGGTTTGAGCATGATAATTTCCTTTTGGAGATGGTGTTTCAAGCCGGCATGGAACAATGATATGAGAATGTCCTCGTGGGCGCCGGAGACGTGTTGAAGCACCTTTTCAAATTCATCTTGGTATTCCATCACGCTTCCCCGCTGCCGTAGCTTCGCCAATTGCCCAAAGTAGTCCACATATTGATTTGGATCAAAACGTTGTTTAAACTTTTCCACAAAGTCGTCCCAACCGAGCAACAGATTATTCTTCTTGCGCCACCAAAACCAATCAGCGGCAGCCCCTTCAAGCATCAAGGGAACACAACGCAAACGCTCATCTGGAGGAGTATCATAAAAGGCAAAGTATTCTGTTACCTTGTAAAGCCAACGTAAAGGGTCTGATCCGTCACATTTGGGAGGCTCGAGCTTAGGTTTGGGGGTAAACGACGTGCCACCGCGTTCGTACCCGTCCTCAAAACCCTGGCCACGGTTATGTGCATGGGATGGCCCCCCTTTGTAAGGCAGGATCAGCGCCTCCACCCGCGCATATTGACTGTCCAATTTGGAGGCGTGTAGGGCCAGCCGTGTTTCGAACTCCTCTTGCAGTTGCTTGGTGGTATCGTGGATGGCATCACGCAGTTCCTTGAAGCGGGTGTCAATGGCCGCCAAGTGTTCCGTGAGGGGATTAGCTTCCGAAGTCATGATCTCAATGAGAGCACCAATGATACGAAAGTATCGGGGTAGAGAAGGCTTCGAGTGCCTCCGAACTCCAGAAAGTAAGGCGAAGGAAGAGAAGAAAGATGCCGGCAGGGAGGGCCGCCGGAACCTACGGGCAGAGAAGAGAGAATTTTAGGGTTTTAATATTCTTACTCATATGATGGCCAAGTGACGTACAACTCCTTTTATAATGAGGAGAAGCCAAAAACCCTTTAACCCTAATTACTACGTTATCTATCCTGGCGGTTCAAAGAAAAGCGACGAGGTAAAGAACCGTAAAGAAACCCTCGAAGGAGCTTATAATTACGCTCACCTAACAAAATCTAAAGCACAATAATAATTATTAAAATGTCTAAAATACTAAATTAAATAATCCTTTTGCCATGCGGGAAGACGCCTAACCCTCGAGCTCTTGCGCACGTCTGGTACTACATCCGTTTCTTCATGCTCTACATCTTGACCCATATCAGACTCCAGGTTAGACCCCAAATCCTCATGGCCGAGCTCCTCTTCCGTTTCCCCAAGCTCCTCATTCTCCGTATGCTCGTGACCCACGTCATTCATAACATGAACCCGACGTAGGCGACTGGTGGACAGAGCAATCCAGGGCACTCTAAGTTTTTTTCTTCTGTTGTGGAACAGGTAAGACGGATCTAGGCATTAGATTTGCCCAGGTACACAATTCTTTATCCCTTGCTTTCGTAGCAATTTTTAAGGGTTGTTTAATTCTGCTGCATTATTCCGATTTCCTAATTCCACTGTAGTTTGTACTCGTGTGAAAGAGCAAGAGGATTGTGTAAGCAGTTTTGCTAACATAATAATCTCAAGTTGTTCGTGCGATTCCTTCACACACGTGAGCCAAATTTGGAAAATTCAGGCAAAATTCTACGTGCCATTGTGTTGCTAATTTTTTAGATTTTTTATTCTCTTTTGTGGGTTTTTTCTCCTTTGTTGTGATTTTTTGATTGTTTTTCTCTTGTTGAAAATTCAGTATGCTTTGACTTATTTCAATGGAAAAATTTGATTTTAGACTTTGGAAACAAAAATTGAAGTGTGTTCTTGTCCATCAAAAAGTTTATAGGCCAGGGTTGTTTGTGATTTACATCTAGAAGCAGACACTAAAGAGAAAAGAGTTGAAATGAATGAAATTGCTTGTTCCATAATTTACTAGAACTTGACTGACTGTGTGATTAGAAAAGTTGGTATTTTGGAATGTGCTAAATATCTTTGGAATAAACTTGATGAACTTTATACTGAAACTTCTTTGCCAAACAAGATTTTCTTACTTGAAAAATTTTTCAAGTTTCGATTGGATATGTCTAAAGATATAAAAGAAAATCTAGATGTTTTCACCAAACTGATATCTAATATTAAATTAATCGGTAATAAACAATTGATGAGTACACCCATATTGCTCTTTTGAATGCTATTCCTGATTCCTACACTGATGTCAAATCTGCAATTAAATATGGTAGGGATAATATATTCTCTTGATGTTGTTGTGAATGGTCTCAAGTGTAAAGAATTAAAATTGAAAAATTCTAAAAGTGATAAAAATTCTGGGGAGGTTATGCATGTGAGGGGTAGAACTTCAAATAAGTTTCAAAACCATAAAACAAGAAAATGCTACAATTGCAATGAATATGGTCACCTTAGTAATAGTTGTCCTAATCCTAAGACAATTCAGCAAAAAGATCATGCTAATATGGCTAATGAATCAAACAACTTTGGTGATCTGTTAATGATCAAAGATTATACTTATTTGAACTCTGTGCTATGTGATTATCTATGTGAATCTGATTGGCTAGTAGATTCTGGTTGCACCTTTCATATGTCACTATTTAGAAACCTTTTTTCAAATTATCAAGAGACTGATAATGCTATTGTGTCCATGGCTAATGAAAAGAAATGCAAAGTTTTTTGAATTGGAGATATGTGTCTTATATTTGATTCTGGATCCATTGTGAACTTAGAGAATGTTAGACATGTGCCTGATTTGTCCTATAATTTGCTTTCTTGTGCATCTCTTGAAAATGAGGGTTTGAGGAAAAACGGGTGAAAGGTGTTATGAAAATAATGAAGGGTTCAATTGTTGTTTTCAAAGCTGAAAAGACAAATAATTTGTATGTGTGCAAAGTTGAACCTGTTTGTGAGCATGTTAATTCTGTGGTTGATAATTCTGTTCTATGTCATAAACGGTTGGGTCACATAAGTAATTAAAGACTTGAAATATTGCATAAATATGAGCACTTAGGTAGTGATAAGTTTATGCATGTTCCTTTCTGTGAATCTTGTGTGCTTGGAAAACAAACCCGTGTTAGTTTCCTAACCCAAATCCCGTTACTCGAACTAAGTGTTCTAATGTGCTTGAATATTTCATGCTGATGTGTAGGGTCCCGCAAGTGTTTCCACTCATGAAGGGAACCAATATTTTCTTTCCATTTTTTATGATTATTCTAGGAAAGTTTGGGACTTACTTTTGAAACAAAAATCTGAAGTTTTTAAATTTAAAAACTGGAAAGTGTTGATTGAGAACCAAACTGGAAAAAAATAAAAACACTTAGAATAAATAATGGCCTTGAATTTTGTAACAAACAACTTGATAATTTGTGTGTTAGTTGGGTTATTAAAATATACAAAATTGTTCCCTACACGCCCTAACAAAATGGAGTAGCTGAGAGGATGAACAGAACTTTTTTAGAGAGGGTGAGAGCCATGCTAGCTACTTCTAGACTTTATAAGAAATTTTGGGGTGAATCTGTTTGCGCTCATGCTTATTTAATCAATAGGTCTCCATCTATACCTTTAGGAGGAAATTGTCCGAAAGTTGTTTTCTCATTCAAACCTCTTGATTTGTCAAACCTGCGTGTGTTTGGTTGTGCTAGTTATGTGCATCAAATGAATGATAAACTTGAACCAAGGTCTAAACTATATGTTTTCTTGGGGTATCCTGACGGGGTAAAGGGTTATAGGTTGTGGGTCAATGGTGAACCATGTTTCAAGATTGTGATAAGTAGAAATGTTGTTTTCAATGAAAAGAATTTTCCTTGTTTGTCCTTGTCTGTTCCGAATGTTAAAAATGTGGTAGATGGGAGGATTAACGGAACTCTTTTAAAGAGGGTGAGGGCTATGTTCGCTACTTCTAGACTTTTTAAGAAATTTTGGGGTGAAGAAGTTTGCACTGCTGCTTATTTGATCAATAGGTCTCCATCTATACCTTTAGGAGGGAATTGTCCAGAAGTTCCTTTCTCAGGCAAACCTCTTGATTTGTCAAACATGCGTGTGTTTGGTTGTCCTTGTTATGTGCATCAAATGAATGATAAACTTGAAACAAGGTCTGAACTATGTGTTTTCTTGGGGTATCCTGACAATGTAAAGGGTTATAGGTTGTGGGTAAAAGGTGAACCAAGTTTCAAGATTGTGATAAGTAGAAATGTTGTTTTCAATGAAAATAATTTTCTCTATTTGTCCTTGCCTGTTCCCAATGTTGAAAATGTGGTTCCAAATGAGGTGGAGCAATTACCTGTTATCATTCCTACTCATGTGCATGTAAAAGCTAATGAACATGTTGACATGAATCATGATTCACACACTAATGAAGATGAGACTATTCCTAATGAGGTGGAGCATGATAGTGTAGAATCACATGTTGAAACTGATTTGCATGACTATGAACTTGCTAGGGATAGAAATAGAAGAACTATAAGCAAACCTGTGAGATATGTTGATGATTGTAATATGTCTGAGTTTGCTTTTCATGTGTTTCAATCCCTTGAGTGTGATGAACCTAAGACTTATCGTGAAGCATTAAAATCTAAATGTTTTGAAAAATGGGTTAGTCCTATGAAATGTGAGATAGAATCCCTTCATGTTAACCAAACATGGAAACTTGTGCCAAAACTTGATAATTGTTCTCTTGTGGACTATAAGTGGTTGTTTAAAGTTAAGCAAGAACTTGAAAATGTTAGGTTTAAGGCTAGACTTGTGGCTAAGGCATTTACTCAAAAGGAGGGAATAGATTATGTAGAAATTTTTTCTCTTGTTGTCAAGTTCACTACAATTAGAATCGTGTTGTCTTTAGTTGCTCAGTATAATTGGGAATTAAAACAAATGGAATTTACTACTGCTTTCTTGCATGGTGATCTTGACAAAAATATTTATATTCACCAACCTGAAGGATTTTTTTATCCTAAGTTGCGTAATCATGTGTGCTTGTTGAAAAAGGACATGTATGGTTTAAAACAATCTCCTGGGCAATGGAACACTAAATTTGATAATTGCATGAAAACCTTTGGTTTTAAGAGAAATAATGCTGATCATTGCTTGTATTTTAAGAACACATTCTTTGTTCCTGTCTTTCTTCTCCTCTATGTGGATGATATGCTAATCATTAGTCCTAGCTTAAAGTTTATTGAGCATGTTCAAAATTATATTTGCAAAAATTTTAACATGAAAGATTTCGGAGATGTTAGAATAATACTTGGCATGAATATTGTTAGGGACAGAAAGAAATCTACTCTTGTTTTAAATCAAAATTCCTACTGGTGGTCCCAAAGTGGTGAGATACAAAGTCTAGAGGGGGGGTGAATAGACTTTGTTACAACTTAAAAACTTTTTCGTTTCTTTTGAAAACGTGAAAATGAGTGTTTATTCTAGAGTTCTTGTGAACCTTAGATTGTGTGCGGAAGTTGGTGGGTAATTGAGCAGTAATCAATATGGATGAGTTAGTTTTCACAGTTATTATAATTGCAAGTATGAGTAAAGATAGAAGAGAGAGAGACACGCAAACTTTAACGAGGTTCGAAGGTGGGGTAATCCTTTTACGTCCTCAAAATCCACTATGTAGTTGGTTGTTGAATAATGAACCAACAATTACACTTGTGTGAATTTATGCACGGTATATCTTCGCAAGGCGAAAGTTGCTACTGCACTCGTGCTGGCTTTGTTGTTCCTTCGAAGGTCAAGCTTCTTCAACAACTGCAAGATCCGAATAATAGGACTTGTAAGATCAACTTGTAAGAAAGTTGATGCACCCCATTTTAATCAAATAGTTTGATTAAAAGTTGTATCCTTCAACGTGGTGTGGTACTTGAGTCAAGGAAACCTTCAAGTGTTTACACTATAGCTCTTTGGAAGGAGGAGAAGTTTGCTTCTGGATAAGGAGTTTAGAAATCTCTCTTTATCAAGCTTTTTGAGCTAACTGTGAATGAGATAGCTTTTGATGTAGTTTTCTCCCTTGTGTGTATTTCGTGCTTTCTATCTCATCGTGTTTTCTCGAGTCTTCCAAGGTTGCTATTTATAGCTGGATTGGATAATTTATCCGTTGAATCAAAATAGACTATCCGTTGCATGTGCTGGCTTCAATTTTGAATGAAGATTGTGATTGAGGATTCCTCATTGGTATGGGTGTTTGGACATACCCAATTGTTTGAGGAGGGATTCCTTTTTCCACAGAATGCGTCTTCTAGCTGTTGTTCAAGAACTCTGGACTATAGCTCTTTACTCTGTTTGTCTTCTAGTGCTTGTTTAGGAATTCTGGACGAGCTCTTTAATTTGAGGGGTCCAGACTTTGTCTCCAAGTCATTTGTTTTTGAATCAGCTTAATTATCTTCAATCTAGCCGTTGAAAATCAAGAGGTTGATTTTTCCTTACCAACGGGTAGAATTTCTTCATTCAAGACTTAGAATTTTTCTAAGTCTTTTCTCACTTGTCCGCTTCTGAGTGTTCCGGTCTTTTCTTGAGGCATCTTGTTCTTTCGCTGACAAATCCGGAAGAGTCATTTACAGACTTCCGAGTGAGAAAGAGATCCGCGCTAGTCTTCCGATTTGGATGACTTAGCCTTCAGAGAGTTGTAGCGAGACATCCGGTTATCGTGTAGAGTTCTGGATTAGAGGATCTTCAATTACTTTGAGAAATCCTTACTTATCTCTGACATTTCCGATCAAGAATTCCAATTTCCATATCACTGAATTTGATTAAGTCTTCAAAGATCAAATCACAAAGTGAAATATCACAACTTTATTGGAAATCTCAAGAACTCGGATTCAACAACATTTCTAAAAAGAAAAATTACATTGAATATTGGGGGAGACCTAAAGTCCCTATTACAATCTAAATACATCATCATCAAAATCTATAATATTTTTCCAAACACCTACACTGATAAGATTTTGAGTAAATTTGCTATGTCGGATGCTAAACCTATGGATGTTCCTATATTTACTCACTTCGTGTTGAGTAAGGATATGTGCCCTAAAACTATAGCTGAAATTAATTAAATGAAAAGTTTGCCTTATTCGAATGCTATTTGTTCTGTGTTGTATCTTATGATTAGCACTATGTCTGCTATTGTTTATGTTGTTAGTTGTTTGAGTAGATACGTGTCTAATCCTAGTATGGCTCATTGGATTGCTTTAAAATGGATTTTGAGATACTTGAAATCTACTCGGAATGTTGATTTAACTTTTTCAAAAAGTGATAAAACTGTTAAATGGATTGGCTATGTGGATTCTAACTATGCAAAAGATAGGGATAATAGAAAATCCACTACTTCCTACGTGTTCACTTTGTATGGTTCTTGCATTAGTTAGAAGTCTCAAGTTCAACACATTGTTGATTTATCAGTACTGAGGCTAAGTATGTTGCAGCCACATATGCTTTTAGAGAAGCTATTTGGCTTAAAGGTCTTTTATCTGAAATATGCTTGCTGGATAAGAATGTGGTTGTGTTTTCTGATAGTCAATCTGCCATTCAATTATGCAAAAATCCTGTTTTTCATGATAGAACAAAACATATTGATATTAGAGACATAGTTGAAAAGGGCATTGTGATGCTGGAGAAAATTCCTACGGTGTCTAATCCAGCTGACATGGGTACTAAGTGTTTACCGGTTGAAAAATATACCTTATGTCAAAAGATTTTAAACCTATCTCTTTGATTGTGTGTTGATCTTTTTTTCTTGTCTTTGTGACTTTTGCTTTTCTTTTATTTTGTGAACTCGATGAGCCAATGGTAGAGTATGACTCTTTGTGAGTTATTTTTTGGCATGCTTTGTGATGTTTCCTAGTCTTCGTGACTTGAGAGTACTTTGTGAACTCTCGAGCACTATGTGTGTCTCATTTGTTGATTACATATTCAGTGGTTATTAGGCTATGATGAGTCATGTGGTTCCTTGACATCTATGTGCACTACTTTGGGCCAAAGGTGGAGATTGTTAATTTATTTGGGGTTGGCCCAAACATATTAATAATGATTGACACCCAACCCAGCAACCCATTTGCTCAAGCTCATCTTATATTCCTTAACCTAATTAATTTTGCCTCAATTACCACCCTAATCTCTAGTATATATGGGGATGGGTTATGCTTGTGTTCAACCGTGCAAAAAACTCCTCCTCTTTGTGAGTCCTCCGTGTGGTTTTCTCTTCCTCTATTTTATCATCTCTATTCTTCTACGTTTCTTTGAGAGTCGAGTGTGGCGAGGTTGGGTTGGGGTGTTGCTCCTTTTGGTTCTATAGTAGTGCAAAATTATGGACCAATTATATGGGTGACCTGAGCCTAATCGGAAAAAATAAATACACATAAAAAATATGAAACTTTATTTTTAATTTTCCAAAATACTTAAAATCATATTTTAACATTTCAAAATAATAAAAGTTATTTTTCCATATTTATCTTGTATTTGTTTTTGTAGGACCCCAGACGCTACTAACACTTCTAAACCCAATTTGTGTTAGAAGAACCGCATACCCTTGCCTTATACTACACTCATCACACACAAGCCCCCACGATATTCGAGTATGACTTGGCGCATATAGCCTCGGCCACGAGACAATTAACGCACACATGACTAATAATTCCCCCGCCAGTAATTGCTCCCGCTGGGAATCGAACTCGTGACCTTGTCTTCGATACCACTTGTAGGACCTTAAGCGCTACCAATTATTCTAAAATTAATTGTTGTTAAAATACACGTTAACATTGATGTTTTTTTGATGAAAATATTTATTCTACATATGTTTTGATATTGACAAGCCACCGTGAATGTACAATGAAGTGTAAACATTCCAATGCGATGGCAAGAATCATTCAAGGAACAAAAATCAAAAGGAAAGACTTTGAAGCATTGAAGCCAAGAAGATAGACTTAGGATTTTAATTGTAACAAGTTAATATTTTTTTCTTCCAAGTCTTGGCTCAAACAACATATTTTTTGCTTGCATAAAAAACTTTAATTAATGCATTAAAATATTTTTCAAAGGATTTTGAAACCCACAAAATATTTTTGGGTAGTTGGTTTTTGACGTAAACCAAAGACAATGTCAGTTTATCTAAAAACCCTACAAACATCGAATATCCAGGTGAACATTGATGTTGGATGGCCTTTGAACATTGGCGTTTGTTTTTGACCTCTAGTTTTGATTTTTGGTCTTAGCCATGTTCGTTTTTTAGCTTGGTTTTCAAAATCTCGCTAAGCCATCCCAACCTCAAATATGTTACATGCCGTGGACATCGCACGAGAGAGAGAGAGAGAGAGAGAGAGAGGACTGACCAAATCCCAAATGGATCCAGACTGATTTGTTTCCTACATTGATTGATTGTTTCCTTGTAGAATTGGTATTGCTTTCTTGCTAGTTCTCTCTTTTCCTATATAAAGAGAAGGAGGCTTTGTCATCAAATAGAACCATTTGAATATACAGAATATTTTCTCTCTTATTATTTTCTACATGGTATCAGAGTTGAACAAAACCTGAAGCCCTACCCTAAATAATTAATAAAGTTTGTCAATAAATAGAATTTAACTGTCTGATCCCAACAGTTCAATCGGATTTCAATTCGGAGAAAATTGGACCAAAAAGTGTTCCCCGACTGGGACCAATTTAGTCCCAATGAGGGACTTACGTTTAGAATCAGAGAAGGACCGTAGCCCGCTCCACTCATCCACCTAAACAGAGAAACTTTCATCAGCAGCATGGCCTCTTCCTCAATTCCATTCCTATATAAACCCCTCCAAACTTTACGAGTCTTCACTCTTCACCATTCTTCTTTCAAGAGATAGCTAAGAGTGTAGAGAGTGAAGTGGTGCTGTCAAGAGAACTTCATGTCGCCGTAGATAGCCACAATCCTCGCTAGAAGTTTTGCCAGAAAATATCCAAAACCTTCATTTAGCTTCAAGGTAAGCCCGTAGATATATCTAGTGACTAGAATGTTCGTATAGATCGTTTCTACGTTAGTAAACGGTCGTTTGGTTGAGATTTGTGTGTAACATGTTCGAAGGACTAAGAATCATAAACCTTGGAGAACATCTCTATATAGTTTAATTGAAGTTCGGTGACTAAAAATGATATTTCCGAAAAATGGACCGAAGGTTGAAGAAGATGAACAGTAGCTGAAAAACAGCAGGGTGGACCGATCATGTCCATTGTATCAATCACCTGGAACAATTCTTTTATAGTCTGAATCGATCCAAACTACTCGATCGATCCCCCAAAAATCTGACCCGAATACATTTTTGAAAATGTTATTTTTGAGCTCCAAAATCCAATTTTTGATACCAATTGATTATGATCATTATAAAGATGATTTTTCATTATAAAAATGATGTTTTTAACAAATAAAATCTTACGTGATGCATGACGGTAAGTTAGGGTGTTAACACCCGAAGCTAGGCCGCTAATTGTTATTGAATGTTATGTTGATTGATGATTATGGTAATCATTTTTTATTTATGATTATAATGATTAAACCCTGATGAATATTATGATTAAAACTGATAATTATGAATGATTAAATCATAATGAACATATTGGCGATTGTGAAAATAATATGTATTGTTAAAATAATATGTATTGTTAAGGGTATCTAGAATAACTCTAAGATATACCCATAGTAATGTTGACTTTGAAAGTTATCTAGAAGACCTCTAAGATATACCCATTTAAGTTAGGCCTTGCGGGTATGATACCCGGTGGCCAGGGTTAAAACGTACGTACGGGATCCAAGAACCAAACTTGAGTACCTACTCGTTTGGGGGTACCACCCACCCAATAGTGAACACGACGCTGTCGGTTTCTGGTTAGCCTTAAGTGAAGGTAAGTTTAAGATTTTGTAGAACCCTTTTATCTTAATCTAGGCCTAGCTTAAGGATTATTTAGGAATACCTTATACTGGAATATAATTTAATTATCTTAAACTAGAATTCGTTAAAGGGTTGATAAACATTAAAGTGATTGGCCTTAGACTAGGAATAGTTTAAGAATATTTTCAAATGTTGAATATTGAATATGAATGAATATTGAATGATGACTATCGAATTAAATATTATGAATATTATGAATGACTGAAGAACGTTGAATGTGAATATAATGTAATGAATGATGAATATTGACTAATGATTATTGAATATCTGAACTGAACATTATGTGCATGATATCAAATGATTTTATTATGAATTTAGATTCAATTTATATGGATGTTCGACGCATTAGATATGCTTACTCAGCTTAAGCGCTGAGTGTGTAGTATGTTTTATTTGGTACACGCAGGTAAACACAAAGAATGTTTGAAATATTTTGAATGTTTTACGAATACCAAGTTTATACTTTAGTCTGAAAGGGAATGCAGACCTGGACGGATTAGGGTGTTACAATTTGGTTTAGGAGCAAACGGTTTTAAACCAGATCTTCGGGTCAAAACTTGAATTTAAAAAATGTCAATCACATCCACGACTCTCGGATCCCTCTGCACCAGGAAGTTAACAAAAGTCTAAGTATTGAATTTGAATATATTGAATTTCATAGATGTCAACTATTAATTCTGAAATGGTATCAAGTATTGACTCAAGTCGAACTTTCGTACTCGGCAAGAGACGGAAGAATAAACAAAAATCAAATGACTCCCTGGTACGTTATCAACGTGCGCATCGCATCGCAAGATTAATGAAACGAAGAATTTATCTACGCCGCAAAGCTGCGAGGGAACGAGACAATCCAGAAGAAACGTTCAGCATAGATTCTGCAAATAGCGTAAGTGGATCGGGCGTGGAAGACCCATCTGTCGATTTGTCACGATCCCACTATTCAAACGCAAACGCTTAGAATAAATCTTGTTGTTCAAATCCCTTGATTGTACCAATTATTGTAATCCTTTGCAATTTCTATCATGAACTCAACTATCCAAATAAAGAATCCTAATAAAGGAATTTCTGTTTTTTGTAGAATGAGTCAAGAAAACGCACACGGACAAGGCAACAATGAACACGTAAGTGTTCACACTGAAACATCTAGCTTCACCCCTCCT